TCAGGGAGCTCGGACTCGTGGTAGGGAGCTCGGGCTCTTGGCGGGGAGCTCGGGCCCTTGGTGGGAAGCTCGGGCCCCTAGTAGGGCGGTCTGGAGTTCGGGCTTAGTAGCGAGCTTGGACTTTGCTTTCGGTGCTTGCTTTGGGCGCTCTACTGTCCCGAGTTGCTTGTTTCTGCCACGTGTCGGGTAACTGCGAGGTTGGGCCAAATTCCCCTTCATCAGGCGGCCTCCCAAGTAGCACAGGCCTTACCTTGATTAATTGAAGAGACCCCAATACAATAGGCTTTGAGGTCCAAAATAAAACCCATATGGTCCCAGCAATGCACCCTATGGAGCTCCAACTATCCGACCTGCAGGATGCATCAAAATTAACTTTGATAGTCCCATGATTGGGATTACGCCATCTTATAAAATTCCATTCTTCAGAAATCTCATTGGGACCGGAAGAAAAACAATATTTGATTTATTGTTAAAGCATTTGTCATTTCTATTAATCCAAATAAACCAAAGCAACACTTTTCTTTAACAAATTGTTCACTAATAGAATATTGGTTTCTCAAAGCACTGGACCACTAATCATTTGTCGAATTATAATTAGAACTTGGGATCGACAACAAGGATCCCACCCTTAACTAAATCTGCTCTGTAAAGGAGAACATAATAAACAAATGCTCATATATTTAATTTTCATTGCAAAATTCGCATTTGAGATTCAAATTCATCTCTAGAAATGAACTTACTTTTTAGTTAGAAGCTTATAATTTAACATGAAGAATAATAAGTAGTTATTAAGATGCCTCCAAAATTTTAATAGCCAAAGTTTAAAATGCGTCATTATAATACATTCGGAAAACCATCAGTTTAGTCTCCGTCTCAGTAGTCTGTCAGTTCTAATCAACCTCCATCAAACGTGGCTGTTTGTTTTTTGGAAAGATTCCTCTGAGTTCATTTACCCGACCACGAATGACGCTTGTAAGGTTCTAATCAACCAACACATTAATTCGCCAAAAGTCTTTTTAAGCTAGAGCTAAAAAAGCATTGCAATGCGCATCGCATTGTTAGATGACTCCGGATCTCCTGTTCATGTCTACTTAGAGGTGTAAAGTAGCCTATACTTTTTCTGTGGGTCATGTCGTATCGTGCTGGTCCGCGGGTTATGTTGGGCCGTGCTACCCTCTTTGGTGAAAATTTTGGGGGTCGGCCTGGCACGGCCTATGGTCCAGGCCCGTGCGGGCCGGGCTGGCCTGTAGGCCAAGCCTTGGGCCAGGTTAGGTTGTACATCGGGCTAAAGCAATTTATTTAAAAAAATTGATAAAAAACTTAAAATTTTAATTTTATATGAATTTTATTGTATAGAATTGCTTATTATACAATAATTAAATAAATTAATATAATAAAATTTAAAAAAATATTTATTTTATTAATATAATATATACTATATATTATTATTTATATAATATTATATAAAAATATATAAATAATACACATGGACCGTGCCGGCCTGTGGACCTAAAACCCCAGGCCCAACATGGCACGGACCATCATGCCGGGCTGGGCCAGTCCAAATTTGTACCGGCGGTCGGCACGACCCGATTTATACCTCTACGCCTACCCACAATACACTACCCCCCGTGAATTGAGAACATCTCCCCCTATACAATACTATACAGAGGATTAGATGTTCTCCACGTGTGACTACGATTAACGCGTGGGCAGAATTCTCGTGAGCAGGAGATCCGGACTCTTATTAGATGTGTTGACAGTGCTTTCTTCGGCAATGCCACACTGCTTGCTCAACTTTGATGTGCTCGTATGCTGCCTCACGGCCCCCTAAGGCCTAATCAATCATATATGGCGTTTAGTAGCAATGAGTGGAAGGCGGATTCAGGACTTTTGATCAGTGGGGATATATCTATGACCTCACCTCTTTGGCTTTTTAAAATCATGAAAAATATTTAATTTAAACTCCCTATTATTTTATTTGAACGAAGGCAATTGAAAAAAAAAAAAAAAACTTTATGTACATATAAAACAATTTTAAATCTCAGTGGGGGCAATTGCGCTATCCACACCGACCGATACATAGATCCACCATTGTTCATGCTCCTCAAGTGTAGTGCCATTAAATGGGAATGCTTCCCAATTCCCATGATCCACTGGCGTTTCCAATAGCGAGTCCAGAAATTAGAGTCAGGCCCAACCTGTTTGATTGATCCTCAACAGAATTCCCATTATCCCTTAAACCCACCAAGTCTTTTAATTTGATACTTTCTGTGGCTACGGTTTGGGTTCTAGCTCAAGTTGGGGTGGAGGAGTATAATTTTCTAGTGGAGAGAGATCATTTTATCTTCTTGTTCATATCATCTGCTGGTTCCTCTTCTTGAGGGGTCTCCTCAGGGGGCCTCTCAAGGCTATTCGACCTCCTTGCCTTATCCCTCTCATAAACTCCTCCAGTATCTCCAAAAGCTTGTTGGTAATCCTTTGCACCTCAGGATACTCTGATGTTCTTGCCACACAACAATTATAGAACGCCACAAGCTTATTGATCTGTTTGAAAGACTTCACACAATCAGGGTATTCCATGTCAATGTATCGATCAAGCAACACACATCGGCACCCCACATGGCATGCCTCACAGTGTCCCCACAGTGCATTCCAATCGTATATTGGGAACATCTCCCAATGACAAATTTAGAAAATGTTCCCAATGCATACGGAGATGTACATGTGGGGTGCTGATGTAATCTCTAAAAATGGCATTAGGGCAAGGCGGGGCCATCAGGTGCCACTTTCCATCCCTATTCCTTTGGGGAAATCATCCCATGCCCACTCTCATTTGGGACAGGTCCTTGGGGAATCTACTATGCATTCGACCTTCTATTGTAATGGTGGAAATCATGGTTGAAACTTTGAAGAACAATGGTGGAAATCATTTAAATTGAGGATAGTTTGATAATTTTATTACACAATGTATCATCTATTAACGGTGAAGGACTAAACATTTAGTTTTTGGGAGTTTAAGTATTACAATGAATAATGATACATTTTGAATCTCAGGTGCTAAAATGAGATTATCTTCAAAGTATAAGATACTAATATGCAATTTATTCGAAAAATATGAATTTTTACTTTTTGTTGCAAAAGTATTTTTGTTTTGGGTGTTTTCTACAGTGTTTTAAAAGGCGTGGGAGGCATGAAGTGCTCCCAAAACGCCCTGAGGCATATGCCAGAGGCGCTACACCTTTGAGGCGTGCGCTCGCCGCCGCTTCAACAAGACCCCCCCTTTCAATTAATGCTATGCATTTTTATTCTTATTAATATAAAATATTTTTATTAAAAATAAAGAAAAAAATGAGATCCCCCCTTCCTCTTCATCCTTAGGGATGATCATGGGCCGGGCCTGATTCTGGGCCAATGCCACTCATATATAAAACATTACATATCTATATATTAAATGACATAGCATGCATATAAACTTATTTTATACATTATATAATATAAAATATTACATATAATATAAATTATACATGTCATGCTATAATATTTATATATAAAATATATAATATAATGTAAAATAACATGTATACATATGTATACATTATACACAAATGTGTAAGTTTAAATATATGCAGGCCCGGGCCGGGCCTGAACACAAAGCCCAGGCCTCAGCCTGGAATTTCCAGGGCGGGCTGAAATGATCACCCCTATTCATCCTCTTCTTAAGGAGGCTTACGCTTATTGTGTTATGAACTACGCCTTATGCCTCTAGGTAGTGGAATGCCTCGCATTATGTCTTCGTGTTTTAAAATATTAGTTTTCTATTTTAAAAAACATAGATTACCAAACTTCAAAGTATTTTTTTTTTGTTGTTGAAACACAAAATACTTTAAAAATGTTTATTCAAACACAACTTAAAAGTCAAATCATATTTCATTTTTCGAACTCAAACAACACTCTCAAATCTCACCAGCGACCATTGGGAGCGTATCCCTTCTCTTTCCATGCCATCGAACTTTCCACACCAAAACTGGAAAGGAGATTGGTTTCAGTCACTGCAAGGCCCGTTCGAACACTGTTTAAACAGTTTTTTCAGCCTTGCATCAGGAACATCTCTATACTTTTTATACTTTATTTCATGGGGAGATATTCCAAATGCAATGCTATAATGATTGATTGAATGGGCTTTGCAGTGACTGAATCCCATCTCAACTTGAAGGCAACACAGCTACACAGCATAGAGCCATCAAAACCATTGTGGCTCTAGTTGAAATAAAATAAGAAGAAAGTACCCGAAAAAAAAAAACTCAGGGTGGTTCTTTGCAGAAAATACACTGTGACTCTAAAAGGTAAAAAATAGTAAAATACAACAAAAAAAAAGAAAAAGAAGAAAGCACAAAAACACTACAATTTGCCAAAAAAAAATACATTACAAAATTTACAGCAAAAAGTCCAATAAAAATTAAAAAATACAAATATTGCAAAGAAAGAAAAAAAGTAAAGTACAAGAAAACAGAAAAATAGAAACTTTGGGTGGGCATCTTTGTAATTTGCCACGAAGTCTATTAACAGAGCGGGGTAAAGTGCAGGAATCTAAAAATTCGGAGTGGAAATTTATCACAAATGAAAATTCAGGGAGGCTAAGTCTCACTGTCCCAAAGTCAAGGCAAACGGCGCAAACCTTCCAAGAAGAAAACATTATTAAGCACATTACTGTAAACATTATTAATTATAAGGGTGTTGTTTGCACAATGATAAAATGTAGGGGCAAAACTGAAAAAATACTTATTTCAATTTACAGCGGTGGATAGAAAGCATAAATCCTTTTTTGTATTCTCTGGATTCTTTATTCGATTTCCCCCCCGTTTGGTGCTCTCACCTTCTTTGGTTCTCCCCTCGTCCTACGCTGCCAATTGATCGTTCCGAAAGACTATATATCTTTTCTTTCCTTTGTCCTGTTTTTCCTCCTCAAATTGTTCTCTCCAATCTCAAAACCCTAATTTTTCTGGTTTTGAGAGGAGAAGAAACGATGGTGTTCTACTTCAAAGCTCGACCAGAGGCCGGTGATTACACTATTTTCATGGGATTGGACAAATACGAGAACGAAGAGCTCATCAAATATGGTTTTCCCGAGGATATCTGGTAAATTTTATTTTATTTCGTCCGATTTTTTCTTTCATTGGTTCATTTTAGTGATTTGCAGACGTAATTCATAGTTTGCTTTGGTATTCATTGACGAGTTTCAGTTATCTTTCTCTTTAGTTTTATGTGTTGCGTTTATATTCTGTTTATAATCATTCTACGCTTGTAAAAAATAATTCTTTGTTTCCTTTCTTATATTTATTTCGTATGTGTCGATTTGTGTATTCACGCCCTAATTTCAGTTGATTTCCAGGTGCTACATTATGCAGTTACAGTTAAAGTTTTGAACTTGATGTATTGGCTACTGGTTAAAAGGAATAATCTTTATTGCTCTCAGTTCACTAAAATGTCCTAATTTTCTGTTTCTGTGTTAGATTTCTTAGTCTCTTTATTGTTGTCCTTTTTTTAATATCTTTCGTCGTTCTAGGCTGCAATCTTTCCGCGTTTTAGTTTCGGATTTGTTTACAGATTATGGTTTGTAAACTGAAATGTTGTACTTTATTTCTTTGATCATTTTTTTCCTTGCTGTGACAACTTAATGCGTTACTTTATCTCTTTGAACTATCCCATACCTCATTTTCTTTCTACAAAACTATAGGTTATCGTGTGCTTTGTAGACTAATAGAAAACATGTGTTGCACTCTCATTTACTTTTTATGCAAACCGTAGGTTTTCGTGTGCTTTATAGACTAATAGAAAACATTTTTTGCACTCTAATTATTAAGCCTAGTTCACGCCTTTATGTATTTTTAAGCTTTGTGTCTTGCATTTATAAATTATGTGGATTTTTGGCGTTTTATATAACTTAAATAATTTCACAAGAAAGTCCCAAACGCACGTAGCACGAACGAAGGAAAGGTAGTACCTATCATAACTTCTAAAATTTCCGTTCCCCTGAACCATACCTTGGGAAAAGCCCCTGACAAAGAACACTGCAGGAAGAATTGATGCTTGAGGAGTTTTAGTATTTAAAGATAAGCCAATACCACCTACCTGGTTTAAGCTTTGCCAAACAGAGGAACTATGACTCCTCATTCAGGGCATATTTATTTTCTAGGTTGCATACTTCAATCAGTCTAAAAGAATTTGCATGGCCCTGATGGGTCTTGTCATGTTGCTTAATTCCAATACAAATGTGTGCTTGCATTCCAATACAAATCTTCCATTTTATGTAAAGAAGGTAATCATCAGATGATCTCTCATTTTGTGTATCTATGTCATGGTTGTCACAATCTCATGATTTGTAATATGATTATTTTGGACAGCTATGATTTATGATATAATTCATGATTTGATCATTTGAACAATGAATCCCAAGGCCACCTCAGATTCAAAATTTCAAATCTTATGTTTGAATTCTTTTATGCAAAATTCTTACAATTACTTTTTGAATCCTACCATTCAATTTGTGAGTCGTAAGATTTATACAATTTATGTAATTTGATTTGATTCAGTTGAGACATAGTTCTCTACTCTGTCTTTCCTTTCTTTTAATTTTTCTTAAAGGATAAGCATGAAGGGGTTATTTGGATATCATTCTGATATATGAATAATGTCCAGAATTGCATTCTAGCAAGAGTCTGAGGCATTTGGTTTGGGTACTATATGCAGATGACTATAACCTCAAGAATCCAAGTTGTATGGGGTTTTATAATGTTTGATTTTAGAATTTTCGTAAATGGCTTCAAACACAAAGGCTATCATAGTTTTGGTCAACAACCTAATCACCTTGAAGGCCATGGGAGATTTAGAGTAACTTAGACAGGTAGAGACAGCAAGTATTTACTGCCTGTATGCAAATAAGAGCTTTCTCCTTGATCTCAAATATTCTCATCCATGTTCATGTAATTAGACCCTTGTCAAGCTGCCACTAGATGGTGAGTGAACAGGATTATTCAATTTGAGGTCAGTATTACAGAGTGAGGAAAGAACTCAAGCATGGGCAAAACAACTTAATAGGCCTTCCTTTCTGATTCATTGTAGCAGAGATCCTGCTGCCACCAGGGTGGGTAGGTGGGGGGGGGTGGTGGTTAAGGGGATGAGGGATGGGCTACCCCCTGATGTGTAGCCCATGAAGAAAAAAATTGCATGGACACAAACATGACAATCAGAACTAAATCACCTTCCTTTCCATCAAAAGTACAGCTAGTCACATACTTTGTCTTGAGTGAAATGTCATTTGGGGATTCATCCTTATTTTTTATTGCAGACAATGTTGCATGGCCATGGACACAAACATGAGAATCAGAATCCGATACACTTGTGGGCACATTTAAAAGAGGAAGGGAGCAAAAAAAAAAAAGAAAACAGATTAAAGCATTTGACAAAACCTAGTAATGTATTGGACCATTCAGAAGAAGGTTTGGAATCGATTGCAGACTGTCAAAAAGATGTTTCTCTTCCCTTGGAGAAGAAGCTGGAGGGGGATAAGGGTGTTTTAGAAGAGGTTGGAGAAAGTAAAGAGAATGATGAGGAGGTGTGCCTGGATGGAGTGAGGAAAATTGAAAGAAATTTAGACTTGGAAAAAATAGTGGAAGTGGAAGTCAGTGTAAGCAAGATTTTAGGGAGTTCTTTTGTGGGAGGGGAAGAATTTGCGAGAAAAATTTCCTGAGATCTGGAAGAAAGATACTTTGATCAAAGAAAGTTTTCAAGTGGTGAAGCGGGTCGGTGATTGATGTTGGTTTTTGTTGGTGCTTTGGGTTTTTAACTTTTTTTGATGATCTGATTGTTATATGGGTGCAGTTTTCTGTTTTGTTTGGGTTGGTTTTCTGTATCTTAAAGGTTAGATTTTTTTTTTTGTTGAATTTGTTTATTTGGGTGTGTGTTTTTTCGAGTTTGTTCTTTGGGGATGATATCTTATCACCATTGTGTATTTGTTCTTTCCTTATTCTCTTATAAAAGAATCTATATGTTTTCAAATATTAACATTATAAAAAAAGGCCATTACCCAATGATGTTCCTGGCTATCTGGTGTGTTGGGAGGGGTAGACTAGGTACAGTCCCAACCTTTGTCATTTTTTTGTAAAAAGTTGCTGCCCTCAGACTTGAACCTGTGTTCTCATTCTTTCCAGCCCATGATCTTACCTTTATACCAAGTGATAGCACCTGAATTCTAACATTATATTATAAAAAAGCTCTTGAACTTTATTTTTGTTACTTAATAATGATTTCCTATAAAAATGATATTTATTATGTATACTAGCTGTTGAGTAGAAGAAGAAGAAGAAGAAGAAGAAGAAGAAGAAGAAGAAGAAGAAGAAGAAGAAGAAAGGAAGGAAGAAGAAGAAGGAGAAGAGAAGAGGCTGCAGACTTAAGGCCTCAAAAGAACTGCTTCATGCGAGTGAAGCATTTGTATTTATACTATACTGGCCGTACAACACAAGATGTCTACAAAATTACAAAAATACCCCTGCGGGCACTAAACCTGTGTACAGTACATACAATACATCTGTCAACACTCCCCCTCAAGTTGGGGCATAGATATCAATCATGCCCAATTTGTCACAGAGATCTTGGTGTCTGGAATGGTTTAGCCCTTTTGTAAAGATGTCTGCTAGTTGGTCTTCAGAACTGATGTATGGAGTGCATACTTTGCCTGTGATGATTTTCTCTCTGATAAAGTGCTTGTCAACTTCAATGTGCTTTGTTCTATCATGTAGTACCGGGTTAGCAACGATACTTATAGCTGCCTTGTTGTCACAGAGTAGAGTCATGGGTTTGTCCACTGGAAAACCCAACTCTCCCAATAGATTCTTTATCCACATACCTTCGGCTACTCCGTGTGCCATTGCACGTTTCTCAGCTTCAACACTGGATCTAGCTACTACGGTTTGCTTCTTACTCCTCCAAGTAACAAGGCTCCCTCCTACAAAGGTGCAGTAACCACTAGTAGACCTTCTRTCACTTTRAGRTCYARCCCARTCCRCATCTGTGTAAATTTCAACTCTCAAATGTCCATGTTTCTGGAATAATAAGCCAACACCCGGGAACTTCTTAAGATACCGCAATATTCTCTCCGCTGCTTCA